GTTGAACCGCACGGCTTCTAGTGTGTGTGTGCCTGGCACGGTGCTGATGTTCTTACACGAGACAGATTGTACTGTTTCTTTTTTTTTATTTGTTAGAACTTTATTAAAATGTTGTGACATTTCATTAAGTTCTATAGACACACCGTGGTGCGATACGTTGCTACCACGTCTCACTGCAGTGTGCTTATAAAAACAACTTCTGAAGCTATTAATAATTGTTTTTATCATTCCCAAATTGCCAGCAGAGCTTAACGTGCATAATTAAGATTTCCAAAATGAGTTGCCTATTGTAATGTTCCCTTATGAAGAATGGACTACATAATGTAACATCAGTGTACTACTGTAAAAGGTTCACACCACACCGTATGGCAACGCACAGCACGTTACGTGTGTGTGTGTGCGCTGCCGTGCTGCGTGAAGGTGTTCTGTGCTGTATTATATTGCAGTGGTCTGGGTTTTTTCTTAACCTACCCTACAGTATATGTAAATTTTATGCGCCGTGCTAAATAAAATGATGCTGCTTCATTTTAAGGCAACATACACCAACTAACAGGTGTGAACAGGCCCTATAAAAATATTTTTTTGTGTTATGGCTTGCATTAGACATTAGGCAACGCAGCCCAACAGGGGTGGTGAGAACCAGCCAATGAGTTTGCTTCCACTTATAATTCTTGCCTTGATGTGACGTGCTGCTGGTTGGTCAGATCTGTTATGCTGGCCAAATCTAAAGTTGGTAAACAAGAAATCAGTGCTTTACCCCCATCCTTGATAAACTGCATAGATAAAGGAATGCCCCCTGCCTGCTATTGTATTCAGCACCTGGTCAAACCCATGGCTGCTGAATACTCAAGTGTTCACTGTATCTGATTGGAAAAATTTCCATCTGGTTCCTTCAACAAAAGCCGGGCGCTAAAGACAGGGCCACCCACAGCTTGAATGTCGGCCAATTCAGCAGGAATTGGACTAAATTTGGGGCAAGGTTTGGTCAGCTTTACAGCCATGGTTTGCCTAAGCAAAATTACCACATTAGGCCCAAAAAATCAACAAAATGCAAAGGTGTGGAATATGACTGGAATAAAACTTTAAAGATCGTGAGTTATTAGCCCACGTTTCTCTTTATAATAAGCACAGAACGGAAGCGGTGCACAGCATAATTGTGAGAGTTTATCTGATTAAGCAAGAATGAAATTATAGTGAACCTAGCTGCACTCTGCTAGAAATGTGCAGCTTGTTTTGTTATGTGTTCACTTCATATTAGGCAAATGTACTTGATTTCCATACATTATTACTAAACCGTGTTGATATAAGCAAGATTTATTGTTGTCTCATTTGTTAGCTGAGATGTAAGCCTGTGAATGTCAGTATAATTTCCTGTGAATCAGTGGCTGACATAATTGCATAAAAACTCATATTTTAGGTAGGCTGAGCTTCCATGGAGCGCACTCAATTACCCTCTAGATGTGGAAGAGCACGGAAGGTGGGGTCCCACTTAGGAACAAATTAACTCAAGTCATTTCATTGATTTTCACAGTGTCCTTTTCCTCAGTGCTTTATGAATATTAATACATCTTTTGTCTTTGCTTTCTGTCTTTTTATATTAGAACATAATGGCTTGCCACATTTCAGAATTTAGTTCTGTTGATGTGGTTTCTAACTGCTGATTTATTTGATTTGACTTTCTTCAGTGTTTTTTTTGACAACCTTCCGTAACATGTCCAAGCTACATTAAAGTGTATCTAAACCCAAAAACAAAAATGTAGTATATGGCCGCTTACCAATACTTCGATGAGGTGGCTGCATTTGTTTCAAATTTTTTAGGCCTTTTTCCTTTTTATTTTTGCCAGTAACACACCAAGTCTTAGATTGACTCCACTCTATGGAGGAGTAATGGAGCCACCCTAGCACAGCAGCATTGTCAATCTTGGAGAGAGCATGTTAGATGCACTAGTAGATTTAGTTGGATTTGAGAAATTAAATCTAAACTCTTAATTAACGCACTTAAAGCAGTTACAGCAACAGTTTTTTTTCTTTTTGCCTTTTGGGATAAAGGTTTTACATAAAGGAACATAAGCTGAGTATTGCAAACACTCACATCAGTGTTAAATCGTTTGTCTCAACTTTGTTTCTTGTCAACTTGGTCTGTTAAGGAAGCTGAAAAATAACTGACTTTCTGGCCGTATAACCAGGTGAAAATAGAGGGGGAAAAAATCTTGAAAAAAGAAAACCAATATATTCACCACATTTAAAGCTGAACTACAACCTCCTATCCCTTACAGCCAAGGAAGGTGCCATCTTAGCCTCCATTTGGATTCCAGGTGCCATGGTGCATATGATCAGCTATGACACTGGCCATTTGAGGGGTTGAAAGTTTGGTTGAGAGCTGAAATAAGCACACTGGAAACCTTGGCATTGCCTTAAAAGTAACTGTTTTGGGACACACTAAATTGGTGGTTAAAGTCTTTTCTTTAAGGACTGGTAAGCTGCAATTTATGAAATGTTTGTTTTAATGTAAATGCTACATAACCACTATCATTACTGTAGACAAGTACAGTAATCTCTCTAGAACCATTTGTGGGATTTCCCTTTACTGGCCCTAGTGTGGTAATGACTGTGGAAATGAAAGTAGAATGTAAGTTCCTTTTGGCAGTGATGCAAGTGTTTGAGGCTTGGCTTTCACTTCAGAAATGCATGTATAACTCGCGTATCCATGTAGAGATACATTGATTTGTGCTGCAATAAGACCATTTGACTTAAATGGCAATACCTAGGTCAGCACAAGCAAACTTTGGCGTACTGAACTTTTTCACCATCTCACTGCAATACAACAAATCAGTGTGAAAAAGTCCAATTAAAAAAATGGATTTCTCTGTTTGAAAATGCCACACAATCATCCATGGCAAGGCATCTGTGTGAACAAGCCCTGCGTATTCTATGCAACATGCTGCCAAGAAAATTATAAATAAGTAATATAAACATTTTAAAGTAGATTGTTTTATTTGCCCTTGTTAGGAAGGTCAGTGACATCACACGTGGCTGGTTAATCAAATTAGAACTGTGACAGAAGTATAATGTACTTATTTATAAGAGATCTATATGTCAACATTGCAATTTTCATTTTCAAGAACAGGAAATGTATAGAGCAAAGATAAACCAGTTTGTTGCTTTTGTATTCTGTGCTTTTTGCCATATATAGTAAGAATTACATTTATGTGCACCTCATGAAGGTCGTCTTCATGATTTGCATATCAGAGGTTTGTTTTAAACAGCACCCATCTCTAAAATAAATTGCGGTTTAAGAAATAAAAAACTATATGGCTATACCTGGAGCAAGGTAGGAAGTGCTCTTTAAAAATGAAAGCTAGTGTCAAACATTTGAGGTTTGAGGTCAGTGAAGATGGCTCCTAAAACAAAATTCTGTTGGCTGCTGAATTGCCTATTAATCTGAGCTATACTGCCTGCACAAGATACAATGGGTAAAAATGAAAAGTTAAAGTTAGCAGTTGACCTGTACCAGTTCACCTAACATTTACACACGAGTAATCTGTTGATCATTTTCGGAACATTTTTGTCTTGTCGGTGGACGTAGTTTCTTTAGGCAATTACCGTATATACTCGAGTATAAGCCGTCCCGAATATAAGCCGAGGTACCTAATTTTAGCCAAAAAAACTGGGAAAAAGTATTGACCCGAATATAAGCCGAGGGTGGGAAATGAGGCAGCTACTGGTAGATAGATACCAATAAAATACTTTAATATTTATTTAAAAGAAAAATAACCTAGCTCTGTAAGTGGAAAAGGGGGTACAGGGCTACATATCATGTACTACGGATCATTTAACCCATTCATATTAGCAGAGGA